CCCATGGCCTGGCCCCTTTGGCCCTGGCCTCCTCCTCTACCTTGCGGCCTCCCTCCGGCCGCGACAACAACGTAAGACCTCCCCTGCCCTACACTACTGTACTCCTCCCCTAGGCCCCACTCAATCTGATCATATGGGACCTCTTCTGTACCACCCTCCTCTAATGTCAGGATCAAGTGATCCTTGGGCTTGACTTGGCCCGAGATGGTACGATCTTTCCACTTCTTCCCCTTCTCCAGGTCCTTGTGCCAGAAAGTGGTAACTGGCATAGACTTCGACTCATACAGGACAACTTCTCTACTCAATGCATCGTAAGTCATGCCGGCCTGCTGAGATTTGTCAAAGAAATGCCCGCGTAGGGCCTCTGGAATGGCACGATAAAACAATTGGACCAACTGGGGCTCAGTGACCCCGTGGTCCGGGACGGCTATGGTACCCTTGAGTGCCTTGGCACTCCTCCACTGCCGGGAGTGGATCGTTTGGAGCTTATCATAGGCTCTAATGCCTCGCGTTGGGTCAGCGAACCGCTCCTTGAGGAGCTTGAGGAATTGGGAAAGAGGAGTGACTTTGGAATATGCAACCAGGTTGTTTTCACAACCGGCTGTACACGCGAGAGACCTGGCGAAGCTAGCCGCTTCGTCCTTCAGGGCCTGGAAGGCCACGAGGACTTGCTCCTCTATCAAGATATGCTGTAAGTAAATGTAACTATTGACACTGGCCTCCCAGTTGTCAAAGTTCTCGTCCTTCTTTCCCCCGTACGCGTCTGGGAACTTAAGTTTCACTGGGTCCTTACGGGGTCTGCCCTCTCCTTCTACAGCGGCTGCAGCTTTGGCACCTTGAATGGCGCCCTCACGAAACTTCCCTACGTTGTCCCTCAACTGTTTGACTTCGCCCCCAATGTGGGTGACGATTTCGCGCACAAAATCCCTGAACCCGGACCGCATGGCACTCAACGCTACATCCTGGCTCCAGCTTGCTTGGCGCTCCTCCATCCAGGCCTTGCTCAACACCTCTAGATAGCCCAGTACTTTGTCCCTCTTGGCCTTATCATCTGGCTGGGCCAGCACCTCCGCTCTACACTCCTGCACCTTTGCCACTGCTGCGGTCATCTTATTCACTTCCTCTCTCCTCCTCTTATTCTCCCTCTTCATTTTCAGCTTCCATGCTAATTTTTGCTCGTCTTCCCTCTCTCTTCGTTCCATCGGGTCTGTCATGGCTGCTAGCTCAGCGGCCAGCGCAGCCTTCTCATCCTTAGTCACATA